CTGAGAACATTAGACTGCTCTAGGGTATACTCTGACAGCATTCTTTTTATTGACTTATCTTGTTTAAACCCACAAATTGTTTCTGCAGTGAGCATACTGGTTGTTTCTAAGGCACTAATTAGTCTTGATAAAGAGATCTGAGCTATAACACTACCAGATACTGAGACACTTGTGAAAAGATATGAAACAGCACAAGATTAGGACTAGAAGAGGTGATTCAATACTACCAGATCAAGCTGTGGAAAAGAGGAAAAAGGGACAATCATCATTATATGTACATTTTGGCTGTACTTCTGAGGAGAACAGGTAAAAAGCAGAACCTTTTATATAATTTTACCATGATTTCACAAAGTGGAACCAAGACAGAAATATGTGGTTGAACATAAAACTGCAACAGTCCATGTGAAAATGGGAGTTAGTTCTAGGCTCTCAGTGGCGTCCCAGCGTATTCCACAAGTCCAGCTCCAATTCCCACCAAAACCAATGGGAGATTGAGCAAATTCTACCCACTCTTTACTGTTGCGTGACAGCAGCCTGAACACACAGAAGTGTCTGTTTACATGGAGGAGGTTCAGGGCTAGTGCATTGGACCAGGCTCACAGGAGAAAGAACGAATGTCAAAGGTAAGAGGAACACCCCTGAGGCAACTCATGCTGTGTCTATAGTTTCTGGAGTTATTAAGCAACATTTGCTGCTGTATGAGATTACTACAGAAAATATTCTTCAAATGGGCAACACTGTTTAGTAAAAAGTACCACCTAACAGTATTCTTGTAGTCAACCCAACACCTCTGTAAAAATCAGCTAACAGAGCTCACAAACAGCCCACAGGTGGACAGAAAAAACATTTTTCTGCCTTTCAGAAATTCTGATGGGACACATTTTCAAGCCAGCTCTGTGTCATAAAGCCAGTAAGACTACTCACTTAGTTGCTGAGTGATGTTACCTCCAGAAGCCACCAAGGAATACTCTACTGTAACCAATAGAGAACAACCTGGTTAACGCATCCTCAATGGCTCAGACAGGACCTGCACCAGGCACACCTGAATGCATTTGCATCTTAATTGCAAGAGGCTCCGTTACATACCTGGAAGCTGGAAAACAGATTTTGAGCTGGTAACTTGTCCTGATATTTTACTTGGAATTTGCAAATATATTACATTGATACTACAGTGAGGCTTCTAAGAGAGCCAAATCATTTAGCATGTCCATTCTGAGGTGTGCTAGCAGACACAGCTTTCAGAGAGAAGACTCTTCTGAGGAATATGTCTCCAGGATGCCTTGCTGGGAACCCAGACATCAACACCACAGATGCTCTTTGAGAGTGAGCTGCTGCTGAATAGGAGGGGCTCACCTCTCAGCAAAGGTCCTGCCTTTTTCCTTGCTCCTGCATTGATGCTTATTATGCTGGAATGGCTCAGGGAATAGCTATTCACCTCTGTTAATATTGTCAGGGGAGAGAGCAGGGAGGTCAGTAGGGTCACTGTTTTCAACAGCAGCTATCCATCAGCCCTCACTTTTCCTTTTGGAACTCCAGCCCTTGTCAAGAGCAGCTCACAGATCCATTGTGCTCTGTGCAGCAGACACCAGAAGCCACCAGAAACCCAGACGCACAAGCAACAGGCCCAAAGATCAAGAAGAGGTCCACCACCAAATTGTCACCTACCTCTTCCAACCACCAGGAAGCAGAACAAACAGAGCATGAATTCCTTAGATACAAATCTTTGACCCTGTGCCTTTTAGCAAGCATCAAAACCAAGAGCCTACTAAGCCAGTCTTCCCCTGTCACAAGGAAAACAGCTCTCTTTTCCTCTCTTCTAGCATGAAAAAATATTCCTTTACGTTTGTTTGAAGTTACTACTCTGAAAACCACACTCAATCTGAACAACTGCAGCACCTAGAGTCCCAACCACAGCTCAGAACCCCACTGAGGCACACAGTTTGTTCCTGCTCTGGAACAGCAGCAGGATCTTCCCTTAGTTTCCTCTACAGCTCTTCCACTCTGGCAATCTGACAGGAGCTAAAGACACCAGGCAGGTAACACTGCAGTCTGGACTAAGCTTCTCCCAGAGTCATTCCTGCCAGTTTGAAGGCTGCTAGGGGGTTATTTAACTAAAAGCATTGAAGTCCCCAAAACTGCAATTCATGAAACCCTACACAGCAGCAGCAGCAGAGGGACCAGGTCTTGATAAAGGTACAAGAAAGTAAATCTGTACTCCCAGAAATGTTATTTGTTAAAACTAAACCCACCTGAATTTATGACAGAAAACCTCTTTAAGGCCCAAGTGTGTATTTGACAGGCCATTGCAGAGCAACACACACAGCTTGCTGCAGCAGTCACCACTTTCTCTGTTAGCTTTTAAAACATACTAAATGTAGGCATTCCATTTCTCCTGTAGACACACATTAGGGAACAGCAAACACCCATCCTCACTAGATCTCAGCAGCATGTTTTTAATACTGCATTTTAAAATGACAAGAGCATCCAGGCAACAAGCCTTCTTTGACAAAGGGAAATAATTCCTCCCTATTCAGCATAACTGCATTTATTTCCCAAGAAATAAGTTCAAGAAACTCTTTGAGAATCATGAGCACATACGGTTAGTTCATAAAACTTAAGACTGAGGTTACTGAAAACACACACACAACTTGCAGCATGTGGACAATCTGGACTCACCAGTCACCATGTTGCATGTATTTCTGCTGCTCTTGTCCTGAGCTCTTAGACTTGTAACGTTCTGGAGAAGACAGAACAAAGAAGCCCTTTCCATCCCCAGTTCCTCTTTCTTTATTAAAGCCATTTTATTTTTAATATGTATACCATTAAGGAAAAAAAACCAACAACACAACAAAACCAAACAAAATCAGGGAAGAAAGGCACGATGGTCCACACAGCTAGCAGCTCCTACTGAAGAACTGCAAGGTGTCCAATTCCTAACCATTGTATCCCTCAGCCTGACAAGTGTGCCTAGGAAGGGCTGTGAGCACATCTGTCACAGGGCACTCGCACCGCGCGGTGACAGGCGCGGCGCAGCCGGTGACACCGGAGTTACCGGAAGGCAGAACTTAGAACAAGGCAGCAGCAGTGACCGTACCCAGAGGTGCCCCCTGCTCCCCCCGCAGGTGCGAGCGGC